TACTCTTTTACCAACGAATAGTGGGATTGACCGTCACATTATAACGCCCCCACAGCTGAAAGGGCGAGGATGTTTTGACGGGGATTCGAACCCGCGACCCTCAGATTGCAAGTCGAGTGCCCTAAACACCTGGCCATGCCGGGCCACAAGATACATACAAATAATATTGTTTGTTTGTGATTAAGCACAAATCTACACAATGAGCTGTCTGTGCTCTGCCCATCACGGGTATCGAAACCCAGTTTCTAGCGTTGAAAGTCCGCAGACATACCGCTGTGCCACTGGGGGACACACATAATATATACACTGCTACCAGTACAAACGCTTCCTGTTCTCTAAACTTCAACTTTGTACTAAAATAAGATTTCTTACTGTATGCGAACTGTTAAACGCCTGTATCCTCAAGATGACGAGAGAAGCTTTCAACATAATGAACCGTAGAGTGTCACAGGGAAGTGGCAATACGTAGCTAGCTGTCGATATCCCTTTAAAAATGATATTATTATTATTAATATATATTATCCTAGTCAATAAATGAGAACAACAAATGCTCAGAACTTTTCTGTCATGACTTGAAAATAAGTTCAGTGGTAAAAGTTCCACATCGAGGAGTGTGTGTTTTCTGATAGCAAAGCCACATCGGGCTATCTGCTGTGTCCACCGAGGGGAATCGAGCCCATTATCTTAGCATTGTAAATTCGTAGACTTACCGCTGTTCCACCGGGGGACTCCACATCGAGGAAATTAAGATTTTCTGAAACTCTTTACATATGGTTGCTTGTCTGAATTTTTTTGTTTACATTTAACTTGAAATTTCGTGTGTGCCATTTAGATTTTCGTCGAACTAAACGAAAAACAATTTCCGAGAAAGCCGAAAGGGGAACTTAACTCTGACCGCGTGAGGGGGTGGGGTGGGGATTCCAGGTTTGACCAAAACGAGTTAATTAAATTTTAACACGTAAAGAGCCTTTAAACTAATAATCTAGATTAGATTTTGCAAGTTTTCATAGTGGGGGGGGGGGTCAAGTTTTATTAATGCTTGTACTATATTTTACGATAAAGGTAACATAGTACCAACCGATTCCTATACTCAAAACCAAAAAAAGTATTGTAAGTAGCAAGTCCTCAGGGCAACATTAGCTTTCGCGAGTTCCTGAACAAAACAAAAAAAGTATTGTAAGTAGCAAGTCCTCAGGGCAACATTAGCTTTCGCGAGTTCCTGAACAAAAAAAGTATTGTAAGTAGCAAGTCCTCAGGGCAACATTAGCTTTCGCGAGTTCCTGAACAAAAAAAGTATTGTAAGTAGCAAGTCCTCAGGGCAACATTAGCTTTCGCGAGTTCCTGAACAAAACTAAAATATGACACACAACAAATGGCATTTTAACAATTATACAAAAATAAAATTGCATTTTCTGCTCTATGGCTATAACATATTCCAGCCGGCCTGATTAACACTGCTATGGCAGATGCAGTGTGTTTGACAAATTATAACATATTCGTCTTTGCCTCAATTCGTAACTTTTTAGAATTAATAATAACAATTCAAAACGCTGCTTTTTGAGCTTCTTTGGATGCGAAGTTTTCAATAATATCAGAATAATGTAGAGCTCTTGATATTTCATTTGCTATATAAGTAACCGAAACTCCAAAAAACGCTCTCGCCTTATAACGGACCTTCAATATCTGATTAATTCTTAATTTCGAAAAGCTTCCTGAAGCGTGGTCTGAAATATACTTAAATATACTTTTAGATCCAACTATTACTTTTTTATATACAAATCCAGAACTTCAATAGCAATTAACGGTATGTAACAATTTTTGGAAAAATCTGAAGCTCTTCGCATCATTCCAAACCATCTATGTCACAAGAGTATCCGTATCAAAGCACAAGTTAAAGGTCTTGGCAACATCAAAGCGGATCATTTTTTTTCAGTATCTTTCAAAATTATTATTATAAAGAAACAAAAAGCTTTCATTACGAGATTGGTAAAGTTCTAACCGTTTATAAACTGATAAGGTTTCATCAATTATAATAAAGAATGTCGTGGATTGATAATGTCCAAATCGTTTATCAGTATGTAATAATGCTTTGTCATTCGAAAGTAATAATTATTCAATTCTTAAAGATTCCTGTGGGTCTCTTTATTGAAACGCCATTTCCTTCGTATGAGCATTTTCAGTTCTTTTTGTGCCAACGACTGGTTTCTGAGGAATATCTTAACAGTTCACGTTGTCTTAAAATTTATAATTGTTTTGGACTACACAGTATTCAAATTAGTTTCTCGAAAAGCGAGATTGTGATTGGCAGGTATTAGAATATTGCGATAATACATGCAAAGATATTTTTGAATATAGTTTCTCTGTTCATATAAATGTCTCATTTTCTTCTCCAATCGTGGTGTTTTTCTTTAAAACGATGTTTCAGATCATGCCATTTCTGCAAATTTTTCTAGTGATGCTGAAAGAATAGAGGAAAGATAGCTAGTCAACATCACTCACCGTCAACTTTCGGATTCTTCAAGTCTGACCGAACACTGGAATTTGACTTTTACTCATACAGCGCATTTATAGCAATAAGAACAAAACGGATTTTTTCGGCAACGGGACGTGAACAATGAACCTTCGTATAAATAGACCGGACGCGCTAATCACTAGGCCAAGCTCGGTCTGGTAATCACGTATTCTTATTGTTATATTACTAATTTCTGGTTATGAAACTAGATCATTGTCTAGTGAGCCTTCATTTGTGATATGGAAGCCATCTTCTGCAAAACATTACCTTTTTACGACTTTATTCTTATCATCATTTTATTAATTACTTTTTTGTTAAATCTATCCAAGGCCCTCTTCAACTAATGATAATTTTTTCTGTCTTCTCTAAATGTTTTTAGAGGAAATGTATTTATGTTTTCAGCATTACTGGCGACTTTTGTGAACGTTTCCCCGTGTATACTCCTGCTTTCAAGTTTTCTTAAAACACATTTCTTGAGAAGGTGTAAAATAATTTCATCTTCTACATCTACAAGAATCTCAGTGTGAAACTCACAATTCACATGAGTCACGACTTTAAATAATTCAGTTACCCATAAATAAATAAATAAACAAGTAATTACGAGAAGCAACGTTTCTCAACAACTATAATCGAACTTTACTGGCGTAATAATCACAACGCTCTTGAAATAGAAGATTCTACGTCAGGTGTTCTAAAATGGTCCAGATCTG